TTTTAAAACTAATGTAATGGTGTAGTTTATGATCTGAACCAATTATACATGCAATTTTTATACTGTTCTGTTTTTTATAAATGATATTTGGTATGTTTAATATCAATAAAAAATATAATTAAACCCTAAGTATGGTACTATCCTGCTTTTCAACAAAATATTGGTATGATATGTTCATATATCCGAATTATGTAGAGACTGTCCACAGTGACTCCCTGTCTATAATGACCTTTTTTCTTTTCTCCCATCGAAGGTCACTATAAACAGTTTTTACTGTACCTTCCCAATCCGCGCTTCAGTAATTAATTGTTTAACTTTTTGATAATGTAATTTTAAAATAGTTTTTTTGTCTGCAACTTTGAGTTTGTTAGCTAATATAGTAACTACTGAAGGTAAAGCTCCTACTAAAGCTACAAATATAGGTATGGTGGGAATAAGTGCAAGTGCAGTTGAACAACCTAAAATACCCGCTGTTATTTGAAGTCCTACGCTTACCCTTCCACAAAATTTATAACTTTTTCTATATGCTGATGCAAGTCTTGTTAAATAATCTATTAGTTCATCAAGATTTTCAATTTGTTTACTCATTATATAATTTCAGCATTTATTATTTTTGGCATCTTTATCCAACTATTGAATTTATCAGAATAACCTTTCCATTTAACTAGTGCTTGTTTTTTCTTATAGTCACGCTTTATAACTTTTTCTATTCTAAAAACTTCTTGTTTAGTTGGCATCAGTTCTTGTTCATAAAATGAACCCTGGACCAGCTCATTATTTAAATCCCTGATAGTATATGTTCTTGGGTTTGTATTTTGAATTCCATCAATTGTAAATATTTCTTCTGTCCAATTTGGTGTATATCCTTTTTCAAAATGTCTCTTAATTTTACTTAAACGAACACGGTCTCCAATCTTAAATTTAGCCTTACTTTTTGATACTTTTAAATCACCATATAAATTAAAATAAACATTACCTTTATTTAACTGTTTGCTTGCTTGTTTAGGTGACATTTTTATACTACTATGTCTTGTGTTATTGTATTTTTCTAACATTTTTGGTAAATCATTTAAATAAGTATTAGAATTATTAGAGGTGAAGTATTTCCACATTATTCGCTTTAGGGATCTATTGAAACGTTCGATAACCACAGCTTTGCCTTCATTAAATGTGTGGTACATGTTTATTGTATTTTTATCTAAGAATGATTGAAAAGTTTTATTATAAAATTCCTTTCCTTCATCAACCCACAAATTCTCTGGTTTTCTACCACCAGAAACTATTTCCTTAAAAGCCTCTGTAACAGAATCACCAGTTTTATTTTTTATCGGAACAGCCCAAGCATACTTGCTAAACACATCAATAACTGTTAAGAAATATTTTATTCCTTTGTTATCTTTAGAAAAGGCTTGCATATCAACTAAATCAGCAGACCAAGTTTCATCAACATCATTTACTATAACTCTCCGTTTTGGAAACTTCCGTTTGATTGGTCTGTGTAATTCATTGGCTAATTTAACGTTCCATGTTACTTCGGGGGTAAGTCGCATGTTGCTTATATCATGCTTTACCCCCTTCTTCCGTTTTTTGAATTTCGTGTTTGCTCCAAACCAAGTTTATATTTCATATTTATAACAGGCTTTACTACTAAATTTTTTGCTAGTTTTTCACCAATAGTTTTTGATTTAGTTGTCTTTAAATCAGATAACATTTTCTTATCACACTCACTTTTACTTAGGCCACTATCGTAACAATAGTCATGATTCATACATACTTCATCTAACTGATTAACAGGTGATCCATTGACCAGTGGGTTACCTGGTCCGCAATAGTTATATCCAGGAAGAGTTAAACCTTTTTTAGGTAACAAAGGTAACATAGCTTTATGAATATCTATTGAACCGCCTTGTTTTACAAACTTAGATTTCAATTTACCGCATGAAGCACACACGGCTTTTATCATTAATCTTCCGTTTTTTGTTGTAACATATTGAGGATTTACATTATCAGTGTATGTTCGTTCTTTTAAACAATATATTTGTTTTTGTTAACTCATTTATATATTTAAATTATAAAAAAGGACTCGTTGGTTCCCGCCTTTTAGACTGTCTTATAGTATTCCATTTATGAGTAGTATATAATATGATGGTTCCGGGGGGTTTTTGGCCTGAGGGTGTTCTTAAATCAATAAAATGGGGTTTATGTCGAGCTGTCTTACTTTTTGGGTTGATGGGTAAGCTATGTCGAGCTGTCTTACCCTTTGGTTTGATAGATAAACACTTTATTAGGCTTCAAAGTGTCCTGGAACCATCATATTATATACTAATTTCACCTATAAGTTACACTTATATCATCTGAATGGAAATCAAATGGGACAAAGCCATATTCAACAAACTTTATGTTATTACCTCTGCCACCAGTTTTTTCATTTTCATTTGGTCATGATCAGATAGTTTTTTTTAGATGTCACGTTGCACACACCGGGCTTACAAATACATTTTTATCCATGCGAAAATGCTCCATTTTGAATTGATTGTTAAAATAAGTCACTGTCAAGGAATTTATTCTTAAATGTCAAAACCTTGCACAGGTATGTTATAGAAATAACCGAGTAAATTCAATTTCAGATATTTTTTGATTGTCTTCCTTTTTTTATTAACCTGTTACAAATAAGAAATGAGATGAAATTTAAGGTAGAATGCGACACTTTGCGAACTTTGAGTAGCTTCTTGAAAATAGATTCCGTTGATATTATTCTAATAGTTTCAGCCAATTTTTGTACACACGACGTCAAAGTTGACCATCAAAGCCCGTTTTTGAACATGACGTCGTTGCATATCCTTGGCAACTGTTACGGGTCTAATCAGAAATATGGTCAACTTTTTGGCATGCCAATTTTCAAGACACTACTCGAAAGTTCACAAAGTGTCACGTTCTACCTTAAAGATTTAAGCTACTTATTTCATAAGAATAAATTAATAAACTTAATTATTTTAGATTTAATGATCATATTTTTTTGATAATTATAATGGTCGAAATGATATAACAAGTCAATGTGCCGTTAAAGCATAATAAACAAATTGACAAGGAAAACAAGTGTTATGTTGATATATAGTATAATATATTTTAAAGTGATAAATAATTACAATTTTATACTTTTATGTTAACTCTTCTCTTGATAATCAAACATCGATGTCTCCATGACTTATATATATATATGTATATATAGACAGAAAAATGTAAATATTTTTTTTAATTCGCATCAAATTTTACTTTTTTCCATTTCCTGAAAGTATTTCAAACTGTAGGTTAGAAAAGTCTAGCACTGAGCCCTCAAAAAATAAAACAAAAATAAGAAACACACTATTTTATCCACCTTAATATTTACATTCAATCTAACTATCTATTATTTTATAGCAATTTTCCCAAAGTTAACTAACAGAAAGATACAGTTTTTATCCCATACAAAGAATAATCATTGATATATTTTAATTTTCACGTCTCGTTATGTATTCCCTCTTATAGATATATACTTTGTTAAAAGTAACTACATAAAATTAAAATGTTAGTATGCATATGCTTCTATTTCAACAAAGTGAAGCCAGCGTCCGTCTTTTTGTAATCTAAGAGTATCTCCAAACGTCTGTTGGTCGCATTGTATTTCAAGATTATATATATTTGTTGCAGGACCTGTATAGTTTGCACAAACATTGTTTCCAACATACATTGTCAAATCCCTAAGTCTTGAATCTGCAATATATAACAATGAGATAAATAATATATCAAAACAGCTTTAATCAGCTTATGAGTAATGGTGATAGATACACATTGATTAACTACTAATAAAACCTATTGTTAAATTATTGTTAATAGTCATTTAAAATTACGTTTTTGCAAATCAGCGCCATACTATTTTAAATCTAAATCAATGCCATCACATCAAACACATAAAACACGAAACTATCGCATGGTTTCGAACGTTTTCTTTGTTTTTACTAACTCATTATACTCAGTACACTTTCAATGACCATTTGAAAACTATCTAGCAGTAACGTTACAGTTTTTCATTGATTCAGATAGGGAAAAATCTCAACTAATATATAACAGGTGGAACGAATTATTTCCACTGAAAAAAGCCCTTAAATCTTGAATCAACATTACTTTCTCCACAAGGTGACAGTTAAAAATCCGTCTCTAACATTGAACGTTTCCAACGGTTGTATCTTGCTTAAAGGCATCGCCATTTCTTTAGCAGAAACATACCTTGATGCCGCCCCAGCCGGTGTTACATAAATGATATAAACAAGGATAATTACTGAAATAAAATTTATGCTAACGGCTAAAATTGAAAGGTACAACCGCTTAATGAATTTTTTCAACTGAAAAGCCCTTAAATTACTTATTCAATATACTTTTCCTGCCCCCTAACGTGATACGCCACTGTTAACATTCTATCAAAGTATTTTAATATTTAAACACGAATTGGATATCTGTTAAAACGTAAAAAAAAACCCAAAAAACACCTGGCCCCGTGTTCACTCAGAAAATATCAGGATCAGGAGTGATCCTGATTTTATTTTCATTGTTTGATGTTTCTAAAATTATTTGTGTTTTGTTGAATTAAATTGTAAATATTCAAAATGTAAAAATATGCTGATTTGCAAAGAAAACAAACTATTTTGGTATAAAATCAACAATAACAAAACAAATACAAAAATATTCGGATCAAAATAAGGATCAATTTTAGGATCAGGATCAATATTTGGATCAACTGTAAAATGCCCATATCTTGCAAAATTAACAATTTATTTATTCTAAAATTTCATGTACTTGCTATTTTAAGTCCTGTTTTATCAAATTTATAATCAGATATATATCTATGAAGATAAACAATGAAGAATATCGGGGTTTTTAAATTTGATCCTGATCTTGATCCTGATCCTTAAATCTTTGTGAACACGGGGCCTGGTTTTCAAACAATTTTGACATATTAGAAAAAATACGTCAAGTCTCAAGTAAAGACAGGGATGTTTCACGTTGGGAGGCAGGATCGGACCCCTAAGCGTCTGTGATTCCACTTACAATCCGTCTCTAACATTAAGTAAAATAGATAAATACAGAATCCCTAAAGAAAGCCCAACACGGCAAAATTGAAAATGTTGCAGGCTCGGTTTGATTGAGCCTGTTCATGGACGGTACTGGAAAGTGCAAGTTACCGTCCACGCCCCCTAGCACCGGCTTAAGCAGAATTCAACATTTAAACGTGAAATAACAATAATGTCGTGTCTTTAAGTTCCCAATTGTCGTATATGTTGCTTAATTACTTTTATGACAGCGAAAACATCTTCAAACACTTGCCTTATTATTTTTACTGAAAGGTTGTTTACTATAGCATTAGCTGGTATTTATTTGGGGTTTCAATTTGAAACTTAGTAAAAGGGGCACAAGTAAAATGGTTTCCTGCGGTGCACATTTTAATGATATATATAAAGATATTTCTTTTAACTATTTTCAACATTATTTGGGGGGGGGATAAACGTTTGTATCAGGGATAAAGTTGAATAAACGATCACTATGGAAGAAGGTCTTTGGAAACTGGTGACCGTTGAAGACCGGAGAAGGTCGAGCATAAAACAATTATTTCTTTTTAAGAAAATGATTAAATAGGCCTTCATTTTATGAATAATTCCGAGCAAAAAATAAATAAAGTAAACACACAAGTTTACGCAGAAAATATCTCTATTTATTATGGCTGATGCCACTACGAAAATTTTAATTTTGTAGATTTTCAGTATAAACAATTTATTGTTTGAAAAATTTGAGATAGATATTTAAGAAACATTGATAATTTTCAAACATATCATTCAAGTTTTTTCCAACTTTAACGATAAATTAATTATAGAAAATTACAAATAAACACCGATAAACACTTTCAGAACTAGCAGACGACTGGCTATTCATATCAGTAAGGATAACGGATTGTGTATCTCACTGTATAAATCGTATGTAAAATGGTCTGACATATGGTAGGTTTAATAGTTAATTAAAATACTTTGAAGTCCAAAGATGTGTTGAATTTTATACAGTGACGAAGCTAAGATCCAAAGCTTTATATTGGTGTAATACATTTTTAAATCGGACATTTAATCACAACAAACTAGCGGTTTAAAAACAGCTTATTTTGTATTGTTTTAGCATAAGCGATAGCGATTTTACTCGAAGATAAGGGAAGCATTTTTCCACTCGATATACCTCGGCTATTTACGTAGATCATATTGAAAGTGTTTACAGGTCAGGGTATCGCATTGTAACATGACCAGCGATTGGCTGAAAAAAAGTGCAGGGAAAACCGTACGAGTCAATTTATACATGAGGTGATTGGATGGAAGTGGGGTATTTTTAAGTTAAAAAAACTAATTTAAAAAGTAACACTACACTGTTTTCTGAAGAAAATGAAATATTTCATGAGTCTCTGTGATAATTTTGACTTGGATATTTGCATTCATAAAAAGTGTATGTCAGTCCTGTGATCAGCAGAAAATTTCAATGAAATGGGGGGTAATCCTCTCTGAAGTCATTTTGCAAAAAATTTGGTTGGCTACCCCTATATAACAAGAACATTTTCATGTGTCAGGCATTTCATTCTGCTAGAAAAATTAGCTTTTTAGCATGAAAACTCAATTTTAAGGTAGGATTAGGGACCATTTCTTATAATGTAAGTCTATGGAAATATCAATGTGAGTGTCTGACCTAAAGAGAGGGAAATTGGAACTGTCATAATTCATTTGTAGTACTTTGTCTTCATTGATACACCATGAAAAGCTGATATTTTGGAAGAATGGATGTATACAGCCTGTCTAGGTATGAAATTTCATTATTTCAATGCAACTGTTGGTGTTTACAGCAGATAATGTGTCAAGGGGGTCAATCTACAAGCATTGTTTACATATGAACAAGAGTATTAGTGTTCCTTAAAAGTTAATAATGGTTTGTATTTTTCTTTAAACAGTGAATTTGAGTGATAATTAATTGGTAATATGTTGATGATGAATAATGTAGACCTTGGTCATTAAAAATATTTTTCAGATTTCAAAGAAATGCTGTACATTGGCTATACACATGCCAGGTTTGAAGACTTATGTATAACTTGACAGGACCTGATGTAAGCACATTGGCCACTTTTGATGGGTGTTGCAGGTATATCACTACAAATGCATATTGCCAGGTTCAAAACTAATATATTAATACTAGAAATAGTCTAGGGTGCTGTTTCGGTTAACTTTCGACTTTATTTAGGGGCGGACATTTCTTCGCTCGGCACTAATTTTTTTCCATTTTGCTCAAATATTTACATAGAATGTCACAAATAAATTGCTTCTATGTCTGTTTCCCATATAAGAATGTTTTGTGTTTCATTTACAGGCATATATAGCATAAAAGCTTCAAATAAATAGCATTTTAAGGCTTCTGTCTTAAAATTTACTTGGTTTCAGGGCATGAATATCAACACATACTTAGAAATTAAAATCCATTGAAAAATGTAGCATAATTCAGTTAGGTAGCCTCTGAATAACCTCTTATTATGTGGTTAAGATGTAAAATAGTGATAAAAAATTATTGTTTTCTATTTGGTAATACATATTTACACACTCACAATGTATAATGCCATAGTTTTTAGACTTTATATCTGTTTAATGCATAATTGAAAGAGCATCATAATGGCCAAGGGTAGAATTATTTTGTAGAAAAAGTTTTATTGATAAGTAAAAGTTGATCTACTTTTTCACAATCATATTAGGCACAATTATAACACAGCTTTAGTGTCTCTGATGTGTCTATAAACAGAAAAAGCACTTATTCTGGTAGATAAATGTACACAAAGGGTGTGATTATGCACAACTTTAGTGAATTACCTCCCTTTATTTATTGAGAAACTTAGATAAGTGCATAAATTCTAGTGTCTGGCTACCACAATGAGAAGAAAATACACAATACTATCCATTCCAAGTACATTTTGGTCTGAAGAGGTGATTTACATGGTAAAACACCTGAAAGAAGGTTTCAATTGTCATATTTGGCTCCAAATGAATGCAAAAATGGCCAATAAATTGGGTGTAGAAGTCAAATTTTAGGCTATTACTGTGCTGTTAAGTCCAGAGGAACTTGGTTTTTCCATATATTGCATTTTTTATATCCATGTAAGAGAGAGACAAAATATATATAAAGAATTTTGGCATTTTATTGACATTTAGGCTTGTATTTAAGACTATATAAGCAAATATTTGGAGTAGAAAAATACAGCAGGGGCAATTTTAAAATACCTAGTTACACCCAAAATGTTGCTATGTGTGTACAAATAACGTGTAATCCATAGTCAGGTCACTATAGAGTAGTTATTAAGTATGTTTGCTAAGCTAAATCTTCATTCAGGAAGTCTATTGGTAATAAAATGTTGAACTTTGGGTGAAAAATCACTTATTTTGTTATGGGTGGGGTGATAAAATTGCTCCCTGCTACATCCTTTTGTTAGAAAATTAGTATTTTGAAGCACTTCTGTTATGAGAACAGTGTAGTGTTGCTATCTGAGTGATTTTATGGAAGTTGTTACAAAATTGGCTTCAGAATAATGAATTATGTATGAAAATCACATGCTAACATTCATTTTCAGAATATTCGGATTGCGGCATAACGGCGCTTGTTAGAAAAAAGGGAATTTCAAAGTTTTAAATGACTTAAGAGTGGTGAAAATG